GTTCAGCGCAAAGTTTGGATTTTGGTTAAAATTGGAGATAATGTGACTGAAAAGTTGTGTGTGTATGACAGGTTGATGTGATGAAAAATGACTGAAGTTTGGATCCAAACTTTGGATCTAAACACAGCCTAAATTTATTACGGAACTGAGGGAGTAAGTATACTACATATCGCAATCCATGCACGTGTTGTCATTGCATTGGCTTAAAATATGGACAAAACTGTCAATTCAGCTATCTCTGTCTCTCTGACCCTAAACTGACTCTTAATTATCAGTGACTGGTCCTGTCAGGCTGTAACTGTGGTCATTTATTAGTTCCAAAGTTAGTTACAAATCACGTTTTCCTTCGCAGCCGGGACACATTTTCGCCGGCGGGCTGCCCGCCCGCCTGCCATTATAGACCAGTAGAGAAATAGACGATATTCGTAAACGGATATGTGAAAATTGATTTTCACAAACGACTATATTAGACAGGCTACTAGCAAATAGATATTTTGACGTGAAAATGAACAAAGTTTCATTTTAAGAACCTCCCAAACCAGATTCATAGATGAATTATATTTGTCTCCAATCCCATAATCACAAATGACAAATCCACAAGTCAGACATCACATCCTCCTATACACACATTACATCCAACAATCACAGATTCTGCAAACTGGATGATGAAGTTGCATATAATCCCACAATCACAAATCCACAAATAAAACATCGCATCCCTCTAATCCCACAATAAAAAATTTCACAGATCAAAATCACAATCATAAGAAATCACAAATCACAGATCGCAGCGCACATTACTGGAGAAGTGATCTTTGCTGGGTTGGCCGAAAACCACAGTAGTCCTGGTTCCAAAAAGAACCGGAACTAAAGAAGTTTTTTAAGTCCCGGTTTATTACTCCAATGGGACTAAGTAACGTTGAGCTCCTCCTGCCATCGCAGATGAAAAAGCTAGCAATTCTCACTTTAATTGAAAATTCTTAGAATTCACTTACAAACTGAAAAAAAAAGCTTGATCGTCTAATCTACATTAGAAAATTATACTAACAGACGAGAATTGATCCACAAACCTATGCTAACGTGACAATGGAGTTCATAGAGTCCAAACTTTGACAAACAACAACAAAAATAAAATATAACAAAACTAATAACAAAGAAGTCTTAATGACCATGGAAAATTCACAGATCCTAAAAAATGAGGACAAAATTACAATTGCAGTTGAAAATAAGGACATGAACACAATTGTCTCATACTAAATCATCTATTATGTTTGCTTTATGGACATAGAAACTACTACATTAATCAGAATATTAGACATATAAGTTTAGTAAAGTTAGGCAACAACTCAAAATTATATTGCCATTTTAAAAATAAAATATGAAAGTATATATATTTATGGTTAACTATTGTAGCCGTACAATAATGTACACGTGCCACCATCTATATATTGCTAGTTTTAAAAGGACTATCTAAAGAACTGACGCGAGTTTTTATAAGAAAAAACTTTAAAATCTAACTATAGTATAACTGTAATATAATTTTACTATAACTATAATATAACTCGTATATAAGTATTAAAATAATATGTACAACTTTGTATCTAACTTGTATAGAGATTATAATGTAGTTACCGTGCAGTTACATTGTACAATGTAACTATAGTGTAATTATGTTGTAGTTACAGTACAATTATACTACATTAATAATTATATTTTGAAAGTTTTTACCAAAAAACTTGCGACAATTTTTGGCAATTCCATTAAATTTAATTAGCCAATAACCAAATGGATGACACTAAACATTAGTTATGTTGTCCAACAGTAATTAATATTCCAATAGTAATTAATATTTGATAACTGTTGATAACTAGCTTAATTTAATTAGCAAATAACTAGGCATATATAGCCGCCGCCGCATAGTCCATCTAGACTGTCTATTAAAGAGACGTCACGGAACCGTCTTGATCGCTGAATATTCCATAGGAGTATCCAATCGTTGTGCTGACATCTATCGAATCTAAATAATCTCTTTTATATAGATGTTTGTATTATCAGAGATAATTTGGTGGCGTAGTGCATATCGAAATAGTAAACCCTGAGGCATACATATATATATTCATCGTTCACTATTCAACTTTTCATCAGTTATAGCTAAACTTTATATTTTAAACAGTCTTGATATTTTTTAATCATAGTTTATTTTATAGTATTGGCAAAATTATTTAAGCTGAGTTCCTTTTCCCAACTCTTCTTCCTCATTTTTCGCACGCACATATTCCAAATTGCTAATCGGTGTGTTCTTGCATAAGTGGTACCAAATAAGTATTAATTTATGTCTAAGTGGTACCATTTTGACTTCTTCTGATCTTCTGATCTTGGCCATACATAAAATTTGAGTTTTTTTCTATTTCTTTAGCACCATATTATTGTCTATACTAAATATTTAAATTGAAAAAATATATTTAAAAATATTCATTTTACTCCTCTGAACTATTTTGGTGCAACACTGGTTACCTTACGTAATTTTTCGGCTCACTTTACACCCCGAACTATTGAAGACGGTTCACATAACTCCCTAACAATATTTCTTTTTTTATCTCTATATATAAGTCATATTTGCACTGAAATTTGGTAGAAATGATAGATCCATTACAACCTACTTATCCATTTTTCTATCATTGTTTACACAGGTTGGAAGCACTAAAGTTGAAAATATTTTAATACTTTGGTAATGGTGTCGTTTACAGCTTAAATGTTTTTTCTTAAAATAAGAGTGTATAACAAAGAAGAGAAACTTAATAGTTTAAGGGTACAATAAGAAAAATAATATATTAATATTTCTTATTATATTAATAGTTTAAGGGATCTATTTTGCACTGGTTTTGTAAGTTAAGGGATGCGTTGTATCCGGTTTTACGGTTGAGGAACGATTTTGTAACTCGATGACAAGTTGAGGGACCTTCGGTGTACTTTTTCCAATGAAGATGGATATAATACAACTGGGCTGAAAATAGTGAGTATAGTGCTACACATTAGATGGGCTAGGTCTAAATTTAATTGGGTTTGCAATTGGGCTTAGACCATAAATAGGATGTTTACTACATGGATCTTGATGGGCCACAAGACATTTTATGACTTTTTTAGCTAGATATTGATGAAAATAAGCGTCATAAAGTTAATGACGAAAGTAGGATCGTCACACTAGATCTATGACGAAAAAAATATATTTTCGTCACAGAACATCATTAGAGACGTATATAGGTGACGAACTAAATTTCGTCATGTGAACGTCATTGATTTCAGAACGTGACAAAATTCTCTATTTTTGTGACGTGAATGAAATGTCACCTATTACAAGATCTCTTGTAGTGATCCATTACGACCTACCTATCCATTTTGGCACACGCACAGCAGGTCAGCACCAGTGCCAGCCAGACCGCGCATGGGCGTGGGGGCGCGGGCGCCGGGTCGCGCATGGGTTGGGCGGCTGGCGCCGGCGTGGCTCTGTCTGTGATCGGCTGATCGCATGGAGTGCTCAGAAAATCATATGAAATGATGAGATCGCCGATCGCTCGTGTCGTCGCTAGGGGCTATGGGCTAGGGCGAGGAGGAGTCGCGAGTCGCGTGTGGGGCTGTGGGCGCCGGGAGTCGGGAAGTAGGATTAGATTGCTTCTTTTTTCTTTTTAATAGTCGCTATTTTCTTTTTTTTTAATAGTGAGGTCGATCGCCTTTTTTTTTTCCGAGGACCATCCGGACCACCCTTTATATTCGTCTCTCTCTCTCTTCTAGCTAAACGGGAACCTAATCATTTGCATGGAAATTTGTCACGTTTTAAAACCTAACCGAATTAAACAAGAAGAGAAATTGGTTTAAAAATTAACTGATTGACTATCTGACTCCCCGAAGCATTTTTCATATAGGTTATTAGATTTTTTTTCTAAGAATAAACGCAAGCACTCACAACGCGTCTACTCACCCCTATAAACGCATACACGCACACTCTGTCCCTATGAGCATATTTGAAAGACGACGCACGCACTCACCCCTATTAACGTACTAACGCACACCTTGCCCTCTATGAGCATATCCAAAAGACTAAGCCGGGATATCATGAAATTGACGAAATCACCATGAGCGTCTCGCTGTTGACGGGTACTTCGCCTACCACTGAAAGAATAATTAGCAATAAATACGAGCACCCGTGTCAAATCTAAAATTTAAACCAGGGTGAACTGTTCCACCACAATGAAACCTAAACGGTTGAGCTACGCCCACTTTGCAATATGTCATTAGATTGTTTAATCAGGGGAAACTATTCTAATCCCTCGAGGGGATGTTCCCTCGTTTGTTTAAAAACCATATAAACGGTTATGAAAAATTCTGGAAAAATTTGACAACATTCATACAGCATATATATACAACTCCATAAAATCTTAAGTCCAAACTCAACTCACACGTCGAGATATAAAAAAGACAAATTTAGCATATGAATAGTAGCGTATTGTTTATATCTAAATTTGTCTTTTTTGTTTCTAGATATATAGATCGAATTTGAACATGAATTTTGGTGGACTAGTAGGTATCATTATACTCTACATTATCAATTTTTTTCAAATTTTTTTACAACTATTTGCATCGAATTTGGAAGAAAAATATATACGAGGGGATATCCCCTCAAGGGATTAGAATCCACTCCCGTTTAATCAGTGATCATTTATTACTACCACAAAAACATACCCCTCCGTCAAAAAAAGAATCTAATCCTAGCTATGAACCTGGATATATGGGTGTCTAGCTTTTTAGTTAGGATTTTCTTTTTCCTGGGACGGAAACATATTGGATTAGACCGGCCTGCTGCAAGAAATACCACGAAAACATATTGGAAGACCGGCCTGCTGCAAGAAATACTGGAAGAGAGATGAAAGCGAAGGGACATGCATCCCAGAGCTTCTGTCCATCATTTCAGTTGGGCTTCAGACCAAATGGTACTATGTATGGAATTGTCCATCAAACGCCAATCACCCCATCATGTCAACTTCTCTCCATTTTCTAGATTTCTAGGGTTATCTATGCATTTTGTTCATACAATATATATCTGATCGTTAGCTCTTCCCCAGGTTAGAGTTCTCTGCACAACTTACAGTTACAGCCTTACAGGGGGGAAGGGCGCCATATCGAGAGAGCGAACATGACCCTCTAAAAACCACCAGCATGGGGGCGATAAAAAAGAAAAAGAATAACATATATTGTCTTTGCTTGAGCTTGAAAGCTGTCATCAAAAGTACAGACCATACTGTCAACGAAAGAAAGAGAAACCACAGTACATAGGCAAGCAGAGAGGCCCACAGAAACAAGGTATCCAGCATCTTGATGATCTCATTCACAAGCATCTCACCCATCCTCAAAATTCATTGGATGCAAATACATGCTTGACACCACTTTATCATCTTTGTTGACCTGGAATAAACCATAGATGAAATGTAAATGAAGCTTAAGTTAATGGTGGCCAGTGGTGCGGTTCGTTCCACACAATATCTACATCAGAAATAGATGACACAAATCTGATGGATTACACACTCACAATCACAGATCATAGATCATGGAACTAGCTCATGTACTCAAATGCTCTTCATGGGTTTCTGAGAGTGGTCCCTGCGGCGTGTCTTCACAAGGGAAGTTTCCAATTCCTGCAAAAGATTTGGTTTGTAATTTTGATAACTGTGATTAAAAGGAAGGTGCAAAATTGTTTAAAAAAAAGTAAGACAAAAGGCATTTGGAACTGTTTGGCCCTTCACAATAATTGATTTTACCAGGGCATAGGGACCATTTCTTAAGTTTGCATCTTTTATCATGCAATTCAAACAACATTAACTATAGCAGGTCTTTTCTCTTACAACCAACAGAAAACAAATGCTCCAGGTGAAGACGTGGAAGAAATGAAAATGTAATTCCACATTTTTTTCTAGGTAACTTCAATTCTGATTACACTTCAGAAAAAAAAAATCATGCTTCAATTGTTACATTAACAACAGAGATCAATAAGCAAAATTGCTAATATTTTGCACAGGCAATGTCACACTGCAGGATAGCCAGCATATGACCTATATATTCCCATAAAGTTGACTTAGGAATGAAATATATTCTCATTGTTTTTTGCCAACCTCTGTCTTATCACTCTATCCTTGCAGAAGTGAGAGACAGGCTTGATTCAGGCCTGCATGCAAACAGCCTATACTTTGAAAAGGTGACCCCCCTCACTGCAAGCTTACAATTCTCTGACTCATTATCTGCTTGTTACCGGTTAGCTTATACACAACCAAAATTTAGATTTTTCAAATTAATTTTTAGAACTGATTTTGGAGTTTTTTCGTTGTAGTCTATTTTACAGCATCGGCTTTTAAACCGCTAATTACATATAAAAGTTCTATCCATGAATTCTTTTTTGTTGCTTCATTCATTTTTCTATGGCCTATCAGCCGTAGGTTGAACAACCTTATTGCACACTGCTAGCAAGCACAGGCCACAACCATAGCCATCATTAATGCACCAAAGCAAATTCCAACTGAAAGGTCAGAGCGGCCACAATGTAAGTACAAACGAAACCATCTCATATGCCTAAATATCCCCATACCGTACAGGCTGGTTACAGATGAAGGGCGTGGGATTATTATGGATTGAATGATTCTGAATGTTTTGGTAATCAATTGGAATATTATTGTGTGGTAGACAACCCTATAGAAGTCGGTAACAAGTCTTGGTGCAAATTAACTCCAATCCTCATCATCGACTCACCGTGTGATCCCCCAACTTGAGGACTTCTGCACAAACAGACCATGCAAGCATGGAGTAATGCACATGGTTGGCTTGGCCTGTGGTGACAGAAGGAAGGTGGCTTCCAAGATACCAGTATGTAGACGATCTTTTGCTAAAGACTAAATTTGGTGTTCCTAAAACTACTAAGGTCTAATAAACTTAATAAATCCATCTACTTTACAATTATTAAGTAGTGAATTCCCCTAGTTGGGCAGCAACTTAGCAATATGATCTTTATTTAAGCCGGATATCAATTCCCACTACAAGCATTGGAGACCAGCTGCTGTGGTGAAATCACGACAACAAGATAATAATATGTTGGGCTGACCTGAACAGAAATGTTTGGAGACACTTCTTTTGTCCAAATGCTTTCCAAATCATAATATTCTCTTGCTCTTTCTTCAAGTGCATGAATGATGATACTTCCTGACACAACAAAAGTTATATTATATGAAGAGACCATCATAACATAAGCTACTGATGCCATCACTATGGAGCTATACAACTCAAGAATATACTTTGGAACACCTGATGCTTGAAATGTTTACTAGTTATTTTATCTTTTTTATTGACGTGTGTTATCATAGAAGAAAAGCAATGAAACCATCTCACATTCTTTATTGATGTGTGATGCTAATGAAGATTATGTTTTCATGCAAGTAGTACTTATGTTTATAAATGGTATCCAAATATAGTCATACAAAAAAATAATAAGTAAAACAGTAGTTTACAAACTTGTTTGCATAATTGTTTGACAGACAAAAAGCTGTATAATGATTGTTCCAATCCACTGCTTCATTCAAAACTTGAGAAGTGACTTAGGCAGTGGCGAAGTATGAACGACATATGCAGAGATGGCTAATTGAGTAGAACGAAATAATCTAGAATTATTACAGATCGTCAGGTTAACTATTAATGGGAACAAAAGGAACAAAAAATAGGTGTTTATGAAGACTTCTCTCAATAATTGAACACAGTTAGTTCAATTGTTTACATCTTAGTTCTACCAATATAATGAATATAAAACTCCTGAAACTACGAAGAAACATGATTTATGACACCAATTAGGTGTAAATACATAAATAAATTATTTAAACTGCCATGAACTTCTAAAATTAGTCCATTGGTTGCTCGAATTTGAAATTTACAAATAAAAGGGAAGGGTGCACAACAGATGATGTTACCAGAATCAATGACAATCCACTTTCCAGCTTGCTGGCCTTCAACACTTGGCATCAATATTCTATCAGAACCCTTCTGCTTCTGTTTTATCTGATAAACAAAAATAGAGAAATTTCAATACCACATTAGTGTAACCCATGTGTGTAAGTGTGTTACAGCAGAGGAAAGCACAATGAATGCCATTGCATGGAGACTTAGAACTATATAGAGCATGCACACCACTATATATCGTAAAAATACTCTAAGAACTTCAAGTAATAATCATGGAAGAAAATGAATCTTCCACAAGGGTATGGATTCTTGCGATCTACTCCCTCCGTCCCATATTATAAGGGATTTTGGGTGAATGTGACACATCCTAGTACTACAAATCTGGACAGGGAGCTAGTGGCTTCAAGTCTTCAACAAAATTATGATTACTGTTGTACTAGTGGTCTCATTCAGTAAAAGGAAGTGCATTGGAATTAAAACGCTAAATAGAATGATGTGCACTGGAATTAAAAACACCAAAAAAATGACTAATTCTTATCATATCTAACATTGCTCAGACCAGCATGAGCATGTTCAGCCTCATTCAAAATTATTTCTTCCTAATTTAAACAGAGTAAAAATAACAAAATAAGTCAAAGTTGTCATAAAAAGAACAAGCACTAAAGCTGCAGTCCAGTGCTTGAACTTCTGATTTTCTCGTGAACAATAATTTAAGTTAAACTTCTATGGATATTATTTAAAGCAAGACATGTGTTTGTAAAAATTAATTCATATGTTAATTTCAAAAGGCTGGAATTCAAACTGCTGGCTGCATTGTCCCCTTCATATGATCATTGATATTGTACCAATCATATTGCACGCGATACATAATGTAGAACACTAAGTATCAAATGGAAATATTACAGTAGCTTCCTACATTTTGGACATGTAAGCCAATAAAAAGTCAAACCAGAAGGAAGCAGTGCTAAAACTATCTATTTTTTCCAGACAATTTCTCAATCACAGGATAGCTTGACATAATAATAGAGAATACAACAATTTATCTTAATCTATGCATTCACTTTCAGCAAATTATATAGGAAACAGATATTGTATTCAAATGTTTTTGTACTACCAAATATGTAGTCTGTATTAGTCATTGGCTCATTGCAGCCCTATCAGTTCGCCTTCAATCAAAAACTGCATTCGCATTAGAAAATGTGGATGGGGAAGTGGCATCACGCATCATCTACACTATAAGCACTAATTTGCATCTTTATCCTGAAATGAAAGCCAACGGTACAGGTGAAAGAAGCCTGTCGGACTATACTTAATAAGTAGTTAAGTTTAAGTTGTGTGTTACTCTCTGTTCCACTAAATCCACGTCAACATATAGTAAATTAGAATCCTTAGTTATCCATGAGAATAACCGCATCCACTAAAATGCATCATACAGTAGCAGTACTCAATAATCATCCGAGGAAGAGTTTACCATACCACCAATTGTAAAGATGTTAAATCAAGCAAAACAATCCTTCACCCTAATTGTCCTAGAGAATTCTGGACGCAGAGCACTTCTAATTATTCATAGGTGAAATGGAATCAATTTAAATCCCCACCGATTTCAACTACAACAAAATTAATGCAAAAAATGGTGAATTAGCGCAGTCAAAGATTAATCAAGGACATACCCAATTACCCAAATCCTACAATCCAAAGGAGTAATAAACCACCTAGAAGCACAGAGATTCCCAGACGAAATTATTAATAAACCCTTATTTTGCCATCCTTAGGTGAGGGAGCAAGAGGATTCGATGGAGGGGGCCCTTGCCTTGTAGAGTAGAGCCTGGGCGATGTTGCGGACGTGCCAGTCGGAGCGGCCGGTGGCGACGACCATGTAGTCGGCGCAGGAGCCGCCATGCAGCCCGCCCTCGCCGACGGGGAAGACGCGCACGTCCCCCGCCCGCACGTCGCGCAGCACCTTCTCCACCTCCGGGAGCTCCAGCAGCGCCGCCTGCCGCGCAGGCGGGGAGGCCGCGCCGGTGGCGGAGGAGGAGAGGAGGCGAGGGAGGAGGGTCTCCCGGGGACGCCATCGCGCCAGGGCTCCGGATCGCGCGGCGGACAACATCGGCGGCGGCGGAGACGGCGGCGAGAATAGGCTAGGCGGCCTGCTTCGCTATCTCGCGGTCGCGCGTCACATACGTTGGCCTATCCCGGCCCACGGGCTCATCCTCCACATATGTCGGATGATCCCGTGTAAACTAGCAGCATACAGTTTTTTTTTTTTTTGCACTTTACCTTTTTCGAAGTTCAAAATTTTCACATTTGAACTTGAGGTTTCAAATTCTACTCCATATATTTAGATTATAAATTACGTGGAATTTGGATTTTAAATATTATGAAATGTGAATTTTAAAGTTTTGGACAAAAATTTAAAATTTTGAATTTGATGTTTAGAATCTCAAATTCTAATTTCTAAATTTTGAAATTCCAAAAATAAATGCAGCGTAAGATCATATTTAGTCATTTTTTTCTTGTTAATAGCATCGTTCCAGGATGCAGTTGCATTGGCTACGAATAGGAAACAAACTCATTTTATATTAAAAAAAAGGGTACGAGTATTCGTACAGCTTACGATTATTATAATCTAGATTATTATGAGTAAGTTAAAATAAACATATAGCTTATTATGATAAATTATTACAATCTATAAGCTATATTACTGTAATCTGATAATCTACTCTAAAGGTGTTTTTTTATATTATTGGGTGGCTAGTCAGGGGCGGAGCTAGAACGAAATAGAGAGGGGTGCCATTCGCTTGCTTTACTCTATTTTAGATCAAGTTTAGACTGATATGAATGTCTGAGTTTGGATTAAGGGAGGGGGTGTGCAGTGCACATATGGTTAAAATAGATGAAATATAGCTAAAACAAATTTCTTAACCGGGTTCCTGGGCACCCTGCTCTCCTACCTAACTTCGTCCTTATGGCTAACGTACAGCTTACAAACAACTAATAATCCAGTTAAATAAACAGCTAACAGCTTATTCTATGTTAGCTTATTATAATTTAGCTTATAGTAATATGGTTTAATAATCTAGATTACAATAATCTTAAACTGAAGCAAACAAGGCCCTAGATCCCCGACCACCTGCTGCTCGGGGCCTCGAGGTTTTCCAAACCAGGCCACGTCACTACTACATAAATGATTTTTCTATACGAGGACCCCTACAGATTGTAGACGGATCATAATTGGTCGTGCATGCAAAAATCTATTTCACAGGCGGGCCTTTTCAGGAGGCTCCATGCCAAAAATGAGCCTATTTTTGCATACGGTCCTCTTAAGGGCCTTTTCAGGAGTGAAGCCATCCCCGTCCACGCCAGGTGGTGCCACCGCCAACAACGACAAGGAGGCGGCTATGAGCACCACCGCCGACAACGACGAGGAGGCGGTTCATCTTACTCCTTGCCTGTCGTTGCCGTCGCCGCTGATGAGGCGGCCCGCCGCGACGACCGGATCCGTGCCGTCGTCGCCATCAAGGAGCTAGGGTTTTGATTTTCACGTGCGGGTGCACCACCCGCATGGAAAAATCACTATTTTCGCAAACCTTTTTGGTAGAAGGGAGGTCCAAGTCCAACCGCATGAAAAAATAGGCTTTGGCCGCATGGAAAAATGGTATTTTTAGTAGTGTGTGGCACCCTACTGCGCAGCACCAGTGCAACTAGGAACTCGGTCCAATATCTTAACAAGCCAAACCCAGAGTTCGGTGCGGCCCTGAGCTCGAGCCCCTTTGGCTACTGAGAGCAGGTACAATAGTAGGCTATAAGCCGGCTATAACCATATATTGAGAAGAAAAGAGAAGAGGGAGAAGAAAGCGGGCTACAGATTTGTAGCCGGCTGCAACACGGGCTCCAAGATGTTATGGGTGTATGAGAGGTGGGACCGGGTATTAATGGTGTAGTATATTTTTATAGTTAACTATTATATGAATGGGCTATTAGATTGGCTGTAGAAGTTTTGGTGCCAGTAGTTGGCTATACTATTAACCTTACTCTTAGGTTTCAGGGCCCCTTTGGCTGGGACCCGGAGGGTTGGTACTCCTCGTCATGTTGCTGCTTTTGCATTTAATGCAAGTCATACGAATCCGTCCACTAGGCACAAGGAGTGATGGGCAACAAGACGACACATGCCGACCATGAAACTGGCCATCATTGCTCCTAAAATGTTGGGTGTGTGGGCTATCATGCGACATGGTTGATTGCCATGCATGTCGCCTACCCTGCCCCACCATAGCCTAGGGCTATAGCGGAACGACGACTAACCTTCCCGATCGCTTCAGTCACTGATCATCTAAGACACGCTAGATGATGACACAACAAAACACTACATTTGTTAATGAGGTCCGGCCAAAGCCTGTATCTCCGGGGCTCTGATTATGGGCACTCTTCCCCAACCAATATAGCACCTAGCCGCTACGAGTCCATGGTCTCGCCGCCATCATCTCCTTGCGTATCTACACTACATTATAGTCGCCATGATTATATTGTGGTGCTCCCTCTCCATTTAAAAGAGATGCCGGGTTACAGAGTCCGACTCTAACTCCACCCCCTACCACCTATTACAACTCTAAGTCCAACTGTAATCAAATATGACTAGTATATTCGACTCATATGCAAACTCCACCTTGACGAATATACGCCATCTAGAAGTAGTAGAATCACCATGCCAATCCACCGGTAATCCTGACTTGAGTGTTTTCCTTTTCACAGCTTCACCATGAGCCATCCAACGAGCCTACGCCAGACCGGCCACCTTTAAGAGACTATGCTATCTCTGTAAATTCTTCTTCTGGACTCCACTTGCAATAGTGCTCCACTTTCTCTCCTATTATTACAGTCATCTTGCAAGTGAAATTGGACTCTCTTTAACTGTCACATCATAGACTTCTCGAAGACCATGTTTACCTTCATCTTCTGTCTTTAATTTTGATTTGATCTAATCCATGACCAGATAATCCACGTCGTCGCCAAATACACAAATCAAACTCATCAGACTGATGAAGAAACCCTTTCTTCCTTGCAGTCTTATGAACTGAACTAATAATTCCAACATACATGCTTTCTCGCAGCTTTAGATTGATTCCATGATACTTTGAGAAAAAACCACTATTGCCTTGAATCACCCGAAGAAATTATTACCATAGCGCTCGCTCTTCCTCTTCAGTGACGCAGATTTTTATATATCCCCACCATGCAAACCTCACCCTCAAATTCTGGATATATCCTGGACTGCCAAACAGACAATTGACATCCTCAACGTTTTCACTCACTGTTGCACGGGTTATTTTCTACAGTTCTGGCCTAACTCCATATATCTCAACCCCTCGTCAAGTTAATAGTACCATTTCTATTTTGAAGGAAAATAAATTGTAATGGTATCTAATGTAATGTGGCAAATCCAAAATCTCATCGTATTTGTGGGTAAAATCCTGAAACTCCGATTGTGCGCAACAGGTTGAAATTAAACGAAGTGAGATATGCTACAAAATGAAAATGTCCATTGCAACTATAACCATCAAGATCATATGGAAGTTTAAGAAAAACAACTCTAAAGTAAGAGTGATGCGCATGCACTGTCATGCCTATTTGTCTAAGGCTAAATAAAATTTGAATTTTTTAAATTAGTCAAGGATTTCAATTTCGAAAATATTCATTTGCAGTAAGAGAATTTATAATCTACATAAACTTGGCACGAGGGAAATAAAAACATGCTTGCTCCAAAGAATAATTTTCAAGTAAATAAAACATTCTTTCATGAGACAGTAATCGTTATATATTCCGGTCCTCTTCGGATCAAATTAATTTAAAACGTAATGCTATAATGTGCAGAGGTGAGGATTAGTGTCGGAACTCTTCCTTACAAATAGTTTCAGGAAAAATGTGCAAATATTCCGGATCAAATCAGAAATTCCCAAGACCAGGTCGTCACTAGTGCAGTCCTCTGCAACATGAAAGTCTTCTTGAAAAAAAAAAATTAAATCAACCTTGCATTATATTGCCTGGCCAGCTGATTACGAGTTTACGACAGCATGCAGGTATAGTACCCCTTGATCCTCATCCATTTCAACCAAACTGGCCTACCTTCCATAGAAAATTAGGTTACACACAGCTGTTTGCCAAACAATATAATTATTGGCGAATTAAATCCACCTCAGTTAAAATTCAAGTCAAAATCCGTGTAATGCATGCGTATGATCTCTTTCACTTAAAAAAAATCAGTTAGTGTACGTAGACAGCCATATGTCACTACTACTTAAACGATTTGTCTGAACGAGACCTTTTAGGTTGTAGGTGGGCCATAATTGCTCATGCCTGCAAAAATCGTTTACTAAGGGAGACGTTCATGGGCCACATACCTTAAAAGGTCGACCTACGAAAATAGACTCATTTTCTTAGGCGGACCTCTTAAACGGCCGCATGGGAAAAATATATTTTCGCAGTTAGGCCTCTTAAAGGTCCACCTAGAATTTTGATTTACCTCCTCTTTCTCTCCTCGCCTCCTCTCTCTCACCTCCTCTCCTCATATTATCTCTCACTCCTCTCTCTCTCATTTCTCACCTCCTCTCCTCTCTCTCTCCCTTGAGTTCCCCTCCCGAGCACTAGTGGTGGGCGGCAGCGGGCTTGGAGGTGGCGATGACAATCGCGGCGGCACGATGGGCGGATCTGCCGCCCACGTCGCCATCAGGGTGCGGAGGGGCAGTGGAGGCGCGGGGAGGGCGGCCTTGGTGACGGCGACGACAACGACGAGTGGCGGCGGACTGCGGCGACGACGTCACCGGCGGATGGGAGCTAGCTAGGGTTTCGTTTTTTGAATTTTTTTTAGATTTTAATTTTTTTCCCAAATTTTTATTTTTGCGTGTGGACAATATAAGCACCCGCATGTGAAAAATCAGAATTTCGCGGGTGGGTGCGCCACCCGCATGAAAAAGTAGCAATTTTTGCAGGCACTTTTGGACATACAAACGGTTTAACTGCATGTAAGAATCGGTTTTGGCCGTATGGAAAAATATGCACTACCTCCGTTTCAGGTTATAAGACTTTCTAGCATTGTCCACATTCATATATATATTAATGAATCTAGACAAATATGTGTGTCTATATTCATTAACATCTAAATAAATATGAGTAAATGCTAGAAAGTCTTATAACCTGAAACGGAAGA